CCTTTATTTCTTGGCCCAATGATGAAATCGTAAATTACCAGGAGGCATAAACTTGGCTTTTTGTTGTTGTATATCTTTGTTTTTTTTTATGGTACTTGGTTGGTGCAACCCAGAGGCGAAAAGCAAAAGCTTAAGCAGCAGCAACCATATCATCAGTTGCCGATGCCGTAAGCGTTGAAGTTGGTCAAAAGCGAAAAAAAAATAAGAAATCCAAAAGCAAAAAACCAGCGCTGCGCCAAAGGTTTGCTAAACTTGTTGCGCTTGCTCGCTCGTTAATGTTTTTATTTTTATCTTCGTATATCTTTTTTTTCTTTTTGTTGTATTTTTCTCGGCAGCTGTCTGCGCAGAGTTACAGACTGAAATTGAAACTGAAACTGGAAAACTTGTAGAGACCACGAAGCCAGAGTTGCCAGGTGTGCTTGTCAATGTCAGCTGACCAATTATTAATAAATAATGCCATTCAGGAAGTACCAAAAGTCCATAGATTTTCGGTCGAAAACTAGCTGAAAGTGCTTTTTTCTGTTCATTTTAATTGTAGTTATTTAAGAGTGAACTCTAAATTTTAGTGAATTTTATTTACTTGATTTTATAAGGATTGTTCCAGGACATTTTGTTCACTTCAGTTCATTTTGTTCACTTCAGTTCATTTTGTTCACTTCAGTTCATTTTGTTCACTTGGTTTTACTAGGAGAACTATTGTTCATTTCAGTTCATTTTGTTTATTCTAGTTTATTTCCATAATTTCACTTACACTTATTTTGTTTTGTTGATGAAGCCAAGGAGGTTATCTTTAAAAATTCCAAAACTTGTTGGTTTTTCATTCGTAATCGTTGGTTTTTTTTTTGTTATATTTACTCCGTCAGAGTACAATTTCAATGCCTTACCTTTGTAAAACACGACTTGTCAATGAACGATGGACTTTTATATTTCACTAATTGCTTTCGGTAATCGTCTGAACATTACTTAATTAATTTTAAACGCAAATATTCTATACTTTGTGTATGGGGAGAAGTGACAAAAAAAATCAAGACCCCGACGACGATGCCAAAAGTGTCGAGTGATAAGATAAGCCAACGATCCACACAGCAGCAGCAGCAGTAAAAAAAAAACCGAGGCAATGGGAATGAAAATGGGAATGGGAATATATGGCTTCTAAACTGATTGGGCAGGCAAATTAATTAATTGAACATTTAAATTGTTTTGTTTCGTTTCGTTCCGTTTGGCTCTTTATGGAATTACTCATGAATATTTTTCAAGGAATATACATATATGTATGTATCTCTCTGTGTGTAGTGCATATATTGTTGAAATCGGGGCAAAGATAACCTAAATGAAGTGCACATATGTATATGCACATACACATCTGTGCCGAGTATATAAATATTTATTTGTTATGTGCCTCATCTGTCTGGCTTTATTTTTTATTTGACCCACACACAACCGACATCTCATCTCCCTCGTATACCCCTCCCTAGAGATAACGAGCTCTCTAAGTGGGCTATATACAGAGTGTACCCGAGTGTAATCTCATTTATAAGACGGTGCCACTTCCGAAAGTCGAACTTTCGAAACTATAAAGCCACAGTTTTGTAGAATGGAAAAATAACTGGAAAACTATAATAATTACCTGCGACTAAACTGGGAATGTATATTGATTGAGAGTAAAATACAATACAATATGGTAGTATTCTAATAATATATTGATATTGTAAACTCTTATTCATCACATATAATATCAAAAACATATATATGGATCGAAGGTGTGATTTGCTGTGATCACTTTTTGGGTAAATCATAGTTTTAAATATCTCATAACTAAGCCAAAAATGCATTAATTTCAAATCGGAAAGCGTTGCTATGCTAGTTTTTTATAGGTTAATAAATCTGCATACTAAATTTAAAATTAAAAAAAATTCAATTTTTTTTTTTGCCAATTTTGGAAAATTTTAATGATGTAACCCCTTTCATTTTTTTCAAAAAATCGAAAATTTTAGTTTTCTTCCGAATATGTCTAGAACGATTTGCCTGTTGATGCTGATCAAGAATATATATAATTTATAGGGTCGGAAATGACTCCTTCACCTTCTTTTAAGCTTCTGACTGAAGGTCCACTACCATTTTTTAACCGATATTAACTATATTTTTATAGGAAATTTTTCGGCAAATCAAAATTTAAAAATCGCATAGCTAAGCCAAAATCGCATTAATTTCAATTCGGAAAGCAGTCGTATGTTAATTTTTAGCAGGTTAACAAAACTGCATACTCCATTTAAAATGTAAATTTTCGGCCGATTTTTGCAAATTTTCATGATGTAACCCCTTTCCTTTTTTTAAGAAAATGGAAAATTTCTGAAAATATTTTGTTTTTCCCGGATATAGCTAGAAAGATTTGCCTGTTGATGCTGATCAAGAATATATATGATTTATAGGGTCGGAAATGGCTCCTTCACTTAGTTTCGAGACTCTGATTAAAATTATAATACCCTACAAGCTTAAAAAATGTAATTACATTAGTTTGAAGGCGTATTTATTTATTTCATGTTATTTATTCACTTTATGTTATTTATTTTTTATTTATTTAATGTGTATTATTTCTGTATTTAATTATTTACTTGCTTAAATACAGTGACTAATAAATTAGTTAATTTCCAAAGGTCTGGCAACCCTGCTTCTTTCTTGTTTTATTTTCCTTGCCTTTGCGCATGCGCCACCTTCTCCAGCCATCTCGCTCGCACCCTCTGCTGCTGCTCTGCCTCTGTCTCTGTCTCTTTATTTTGTTTTTGCTTTTGTTTTTTTCCTTTCCCACTCGCGTGTTGAGCAAGCCGCCAACTGGTTTTGTTTTTGTTGTCTGCGGTTTTGCGTGGTTTTTGGGGGGAAGTGGGCATTATGGGGGGCTGGTGAAGTGGTTGATTACTTGGCGTGTGTATAGATGTGTGTGTGTCTTTTTTTGTTCAGATTTTTGTTGGTTTGTTGTCTTTTTTTCCCCAACGAGCAACAGCTCCGGCTTTTTGTGTGTTGTTGTTGGCTTGAACTTGAGCTCTATACATATGTAATTGGTATGTTGTTGTTATTGCTGCTGCTATTGTTGTTATTATCATCGTTGTTATTGTTGTTGTTGTTGCTAGTTTTTGGCCACGCTCGATGGAATGAGTTAAGAGAGTGTCTGCTGTGTGTCTGTGTTTGTGTTAACTGGTTGCATAACATGTTACAGCATCGCACGAACAAAAAAAAATAAAAAAGAAGTGAACAAGCCAAGTATGTAAGTCGGACGTTGCGTTCCCAAAAAAAAGGGAAAATAATACAAAAAAAAGAAAAAGAAACAAACCCAAAACCACCAATGACGACATGGAAAATAAAAATAGGGGGGCTTGCTGCCAAGTGGGCTTAAAATGATTGCCTAAATAGGGCCAAGATTGGGCTTAAATTAAGGCTAAATAGGGGACTGAAAAAGAGGCTGGCTTAGAGCTTAAATAGGTCTTACTAGTAGCTGAAATGGGGTTTACTAAGTATTTAAATTGGGCTTAAATTGTGGCTTAAATAGGGTTAACTTCGAGCTAAACTGGGGCTTCAATTGTTGCTAAAATAATATAACTAAAAGTTTAAAGAAAACTAAAACAAGAAAGGAAATTAACTTTGGGAAGACCAAGTGTATAAACCCATATAGTTTGCAATTAAAGTATGGGAAAACAATCATAACTAAGCCTAAAATATTCGTATTCTTTGGATTCATAATTATAGACATTTTTATATGATAATTTTTACAACAAATTAAAATTTAAAAATCTCATAACTAAGCCAAAAATGCATTAATTTCAATTCGGAAAGCGGCAGTATGCTAATTTTTAACAGGTTATTAAAACTGCATACTCCATTTAAAAGTGAATTTTGGCCGATTTTTGCAAATTTTAATGATTTTTTTTCGAAAAATGGAAAATTTCTGAAAAAAAAAATTTTCGGTCGGATAAATCTAGAATGATTCGTCTGTTGATGCTGATCAAGAATATATATGATTTATAGGGTCGGAAATGACTCCTTCACTTAGTTTTAAGCTTCTGATCGAAGGTGCAATACCATTTTTTAATCGATATTACCTTTATTTTAATGCCTGTTTTTTAAAAAAATCATAGTTTTAAAAATCGTATAACTAAGCCAAAAATTCATTAATTTCAAATCGGAAATCGCTCCCATGTTAGTTTTTATAAGGTTAATAAATCTGCATACTCAGTTTAAAATTTTAAAATTTGTCATTTTTGGCCAGTTTTCGACAATTTTAACGATGTAACCCCTTATAAAATTTTCAAAATTTTGAAAAAATTAAATTTTTGCCGGAGATGGCTAGAATGATTCGGCTGTTGATGCTGATCAAGAATATATATGATTTATAGGGTCGGAAATGACTTCTTCACTTAGTTTTAAGCTTCTGACCAAAATTATAATACCCGGAAAAGGGTATAGAAAGGGGTTTGCAATACGGGTTTAATAGATCATCTAGACCTGGCTAGATCGGTTCGCCTGTTGAAAATGAGGCAGAATCTCCCAGAATCTCTCTTAAATCTTTAAAGCAAATTATATAAATCTTTCTGTCCGCTTGAGACTGGTAAATAATTATATTTAAATAATAATAATAAGAGAAAAACATTTTGCAAGGCATTAAACACACACACACAGTCTCTCCTCTCTCTTTGTGTTGGGTTTTTCTGTATTTCTTTTGTTTTCCTCTTATAGGTCAAGTTAAAAGTAAAAGTAAGCTCGGCTTGGCTTTTGCTTTTGCTTATACTTTGCCTTTGTGTTTGTGTTTTCCCCCCTTTACCTCTTATTCCCCCCTCCATCCTTTCCTGCTGTTTTTGGCTTTGTTTTGTGGTTGGTCTTTCCCTTGTGTGTATGTTTTTTTTTTATGGTTTTGAATTTTTTGCGAAATATATATTCGCCACATTACGTATACGCCCGAGCGACCAAAAAATTGATTTTGCACCTCTTCGTCTTTCTTTGCACATTCACAGGTGGCCAGCGATCGTGATCGCGATCATCTCCAGCAGCAGCAGCAGCAACAGCAGCAGCAACAGCAGCAGCAGGTGGAGCTTGTCCTGGACAGGAGCAGCATGGAGCAACAGCAGCATCGCCTGCATGGCGCCCTCACACGAACCATTTCACAGCCGGCCCAGCAGCATCGCCAGCAGCAGCAGCAGCAGCTCCTCCAGCAACAGCAGCAGCAACAGCCAGTGGCCAATCTGGTGACCATCATTGAGAATCTGGGCAACATGAATCTGCACCGCAAGCTGGAGCGTACACAGTCGGAGCCACTGCCGCAGCAGCCCATGAACACGTCCAGGTAGGGATCCTTTCCTTTACTTTCTTAAGAAGTTTTAACTTGAAACTAATTTCCTATATCCTTGGCAGATACAAGACGGAGTTATGCCGTCCCTTTGAGGAGGCCGGCGAGTGCAAATACGGCGAAAAGTGTCAGTTTGCTCATGGCTATCATGAGCTGCGCAATCTGCAGCGTCATCCCAAGTACAAGACCGAATACTGTCGCACCTTCCACAGCGTTGGCTTCTGCCCCTATGGGCCACGCTGTCACTTTGTCCACAATGCGGATGAGGCACGTGCCCAGCAGGCGGCCCAGGCAGCCAAGTCGTCATCCTCGTCTGCTTCTCAGACGCAGCAGACACAGTCACAGCAGCAGCAGCAGCAGCAGCAACAATCGCAGCCGCAGTTCTTCTCAACGAAGAACAGTCAGAGCCAAGTTAATAACCACAACAGTAGCAACAGCAACAACAGCAGCAGCAGCAACAACAACAGCAGCAGCAGCAGCAGCCAGTTCTTCCTGCCGCTAAGCCCACCGCTAAGCATGAGCACTGGATCCGATCGCGAATCCCCCACCGGATCCTTGTCGATGAGCCCCGCCAATTCGCTGACCAGCTTCCCCTTCCACGAGGCCATGTCGCTGCAGCATCGCATGAATCTGGCCCAGGGCAATGGTGGTGCTAGCAATAGTTCCGCCTCATCCACATCCTCGGCCTCGGGCCTGGGACTGGGCATGGTTATGGGTCTGGGACAGAGCCTGGGACAGACCACGCCACCGGAATCACCCAATGTACCCATCTCGCCGGTGCATACACCGCCGCCATACGATATCGATGCGATTGCCGGTAAGCAAATGCTTCAGAAGAGTGTCAGCACACCGATGCAGCAGGAGGAGTCACAGACACAGCCCAGGCTGCCGGTTTTCAATCGTCTTAGCTCAGCGGTTGAGGGCTACCAGCAGCAGTCCAATTTGGGGCTTTAAGAAAAACAAATAACCCCAAAAAAACAAACAAAAACAAACAAAAACAAACAAAAAACTCATATCCTTCCTTCCAAAACCCCCATCCAAAAGTGCATCCCTCCATCGACATAATGAAAGCACACAAAGTAGCAGAATCCTTTGACAACAAAATCTCAGCAAGAACACGACCACAACAACAACGGACATTTTTGGAGCAATAACAGCAGGGAAAAGTGAAAATGAGATCCAGAGAACTTGAACCTAAACCCGCACCTGAAACTGAACCTGAAAACCCTCTATCGAAGGGCTGGAACTTTTGGCTTTTGTTTAAATTATTCAACAAAAAAAAAAAAAAAAACGGAAGCAGGGAACTTCAATTCCCAACTCCAGAGATGATCTTAAATCTGATTTCTCTCAAGCTGTGACAGTTTATAGCCGTCTATCGTTATTTATTAATATGAAAGGAGACCACAAACAGGAACATAAAAACCGGACAAGAAACTAAAGACGAACTGTAACGGAAACAAAACGGAAACGGAAACGGAAACGGAAACGTAAACGAAACAGAAACGGAAACGCAACAAAAAGGACGAACGGAGATTAGATAGATGTTAGATACGTAAATGACAAAAAAACAAAACAAAACAAAAACAATCCATATGCAAACAATGATCTTAAACTATATATATATGTTTTAAAAGAAGAAACATAAAAAACAATAATAATAGGAAGCCTCCAAGCATTCTAAACCGGAACGAAAAAACAAAAACAAAAACTTGTTCGGGAATCCTTATCGAAAATGTTTATTTAACACGGATTATATTATGATGTCTTGCTCAAAAATTGATGAAATTTCCAACGTTCCTGCATTTATAAAGGTTAGCAATCGCCCTTGTTCAATATTTAAAGCTATAAACATATATATAATTATGATTTTGGATTAGATATTGTGTAACAAAAGAAGATTCATATATATATGTATATATAGAAACATAAATATATATATATATATATATATATGATAGATGCCCCGTTTTGGACTAGAGATTAGTGAGATATAGAATGTGTCTTCCAAGTCAAATTTTAAATGAAATCATTGGACGGGCAAAAGTGAGAAGCGGAAGTGGAAGCGGAAAGCGGAAACGGAAGCGCTCCAGGGCCAAGGAAAATCCTTTAATTTATTTACCTTTTTTTCGCTTAAAATTTTATGTAATAGAGAGTTGCTGTACATATATAAACTTGATATAATGATTGTGTAAATTATATATATATATATATTTAAACCATTACCAATTACGATTTATGGTTATAGCGATTGCGATGATCTTGGATGAATATTATATGATTATTGATGATATACCTCAGCCACAAATCACAACAATAAACAAAAAACAAAGTAACAAAAAACAAACAACAAAGTAACAAAACAAGACATAACAAATGAGAATTGAAGAGATCGTTAATTGAATTTGATGAATTATATTATAATTTTGTGTTTGCATTTCAAAAGAAGAAAATCGAAATCCAAGAAACGCCGATTCGACTCAACATAATTTATTATTTTTTCTCCCATCTCTATACTACATAATACTTTATATATGCCAATTAATGTTAATAATTTATGAAAAAAAAAACCATGTGACCACACACGCAATACACACAACACACACACACAACGAACTCAGACACGCACACACACATATTTTGACCATTGATAATTTTATGTTTTTTATATATATATATTTACAAATATTGGTATAACGCGACACACACAGAATCATTTTGTTTATTTTATTTACATATGTATATATATATATCACGGGATATATATTTATATATATATATTATTATTATTATTATTTTTATTTAATTTATTTTATACAAAACCTCTTCTTGATTTCTTAAATTTTTTTATTGGGTGCGCAGTTATATAATTTTTAGTGTTATTTCAAGAGCGATTGAAAGAGGAAGCCTTAATTTATATATATAAATATATATATATAATTAATTATTGAAGTGCATATATGCTGTAATAAAAACCAACAAAAACAAAGCAAAAGGAAAAAACAACAAAAAAATTATAAGAAACCTATTTAAATATTTATTTACATAGGGAAAAGCGCAACGATTGTCGATCTTTGTATATTGTGCCGGAAAAAGCCCAAGAAAAATTAGTTTTAAAAATGTAGAAATGTAATTGAAAATATATAAACACTATATACTATTATATATATGTATATTTATATATATATATACCACATACATGTTAAATGCAAGTGCAAATGCGCGCCAATCACTTAAGGGAAATTGTTTAAATAATGTTTTGTATCTTTCCCATTGAAATCGAGACCTTTTCTTGTTCAAATAATTTATAAAGGTTGCTAAAAACAAATCAAATCCAATATTTAACTACTGCTGTTTATTATGATTCACATATATTTATGATCTACGAAGCAGCATGACTCTTGTTCAAACAAAATAACAAAAAAACAACAAAAAAAAGAAAAACTGAAACTGAGGAGGGGGTTAAATAATTCTCAAAGTGCCTTATCATTAATATATATATACATATATATATTTTATATAAATTATACACTATATTATGTACACGAAAACACACACAAATTATGTTATAGAGTCTTGTGCAAATATAAAATGGAAAAAGGAAACAACTAAACAAATACAAAAGGAAAAGCGAACACGAAAATAGAAAGCGTAGAAAGAGTGGAAATAAGAAAAAGGCATATTCATTAATTTATTATTATTTGTAATTGAACAATCTATTTTATATATATACATATTTTACCTTCAATTTTTTTTCGATTCGATTTTACACTCGCCTCGTCCTCCCCTCACTTGTTTTTATTTTTCCTCTTGTACGAATCACAACAATTGTTGCAGATCCGCAGCAGGATAGAGTTTGTTATGGAAGCGTGCAAAGGATAAATAACACTATTTAATGCTATATATATATTTAAAAATACTTTTTACGCATACTTTATATATATATTTTACTGTTTTTTTCGCTCTATTTAATTTGTGAAATCCCCCAAACTTGAACTTAAATTGCTAGCTTTTGGTTATCATCAAAATGATTAATAACACATATATATAATTATTTTTTTTTTGTGTAAACATGTTCTTCCCCTTTGTACAACAAACAAAACAAAAAAGCAAAAAAAAAACTAAAACACTTTTAACCAAAAGTTAAGTCGTCTTCCTCCTAAAAATGCACAAAATGCAATGAAACTAAATGTGGTGAACCAATAGCGATACCGATATGATTGATCGATCGATAAATAAAACGAAATAAGAAAGAACAAGAATATGTAATTGCCAGTTGAATTATACACTATTTATGCATATATACATATATATTTATATATATATATTTATATAATAATAATAATACTTTGTTCGTTATTTATATAAACATATACACCATAATAATTCATAGATTTCCCCCAACAAAACAAAACAACGAAAAAGACAACAAGTGAACACAACAACACAACTGTATATGAATTTTTGTTAATGCTGATATGATGATGAATACATGCCTATATATTTATGCTTCCATTTTGCAACACTATTGTGCGTATTTTTATATAGTTAATTAAAGACGTGAAGTGAAAAACAATTTAGTTTATGGCGAATTTTAAGTTTAAATAGCAATTAGACAAAACAAACGTTACAAAATAAATGAAAGAAATAAACACAAGCACAGGTGTTCCTATAATTATTTTTCCTCCAGCAGCAAGGTCGTTCGCGGGGCTCCTCGATAATATCCGCCCAGGTCATCGCTATTCTCTGTCCACCGGTCTACTGATTGCCGCCGACTCCACGGGTTCGATGAAAGGAAAGGAAAATTGGTTACATCGTTAAAATTTGCAAAATTGGCCAAAAATGTCAAAAATAAAATTTTTGTATTGAGTATGCAGATTTGTTAACCTAATAAAAACTAACATAAAACCGTTTTCCGAATTCAAATTGATGCATTTTTGGCAGAGTTATGCGCTTTTTAAACTTTAATTAGTCGAAAAAAAAAAACCGCCAAATTTGAATTTGAATTTGAATTTGAATTGTCGATCAGTTGCCGCCACGTAAGTTAATCGATAAATTTCGATAGTAGCATAAAAATAGCTGGTCACCCTATAAAAAAATACTGAAAATCCCTCCTTGGAAGTTGTGAAAAATGAGCTGGTCACACTACAAGAAATATTGCATATTTTTTGCATTGCATACTTCTGGGGGCCGGTGTAGCATACTTCTAGGGTGTGCAATGAATTGCAGAAAATTAAATTTGCTTGCTGCTGCTTTCTGTTCGCCTGGTATTCCAGGTTGGGTTTTAAGCGAAACCGGCCAACTCGAAGACTTGCTTTTGGGGGTTCGGTGTAGCATACTTCTAGGGTGAAAAATGAATTTGCATAAAATTAAATTTGCTTGCTGCTGCTTTCTGTTCGCCTGGTATTTCGGGTTGGATTTTTAACGAATTTGACCAACTCGAAGACTTGCTTTTGCCTACAACAACCACAGCATGAACAACAACAACAACAACAACAACAACAACAACAACAACAACAACAACAACAACAACAACAACAACAACAACAACAACAACAACAACAACAACAACAACAACAACAACAACAACAACAACAACAACAACAACAACAACAACAACAACAACAACAAAAACATATTTTTGCAAAAACAATAAAAACATCTATTTTGCAACAACAACTCTTTTAAAGCAAGAGCAATTTACAGATTACAATAACAAAAGAAGAATGTATGCAATTTAACCGCCAATTTTGAATTAACATTTTAAAATGCGATTAGTTGCCGGGATCCGAACAGGAATTTCACGAATTTGAGCTGCTAAAAACCAAAGTGTCGGTCGGAAAATGGGGAAATTGCTTTATGGATTTGCAATTTTGTTTTAAATATACTTTTCCTGTAGAAAATCGAACAAAAAATAAATTACCCAGATAAAAATAAGAAAGCAAAAACGTTCTGTTTACATTTCTTTTGTTTTTATTTGTTTTTGTTTTTTTGTATTTGTTTTTATTTGTATTTTGTTTTGTTTGCTTTTTAATATGTTGTATTTAATTTAATATTATTTTATTTATGTTTAAGCTTACAACTTAAGGCATAAGGTTACAACTAAAACTTAGGTGGTAAACATCATTATCATCTTGCCATCGATCGTAATCAATCAGCTCTATTTGCATACATATACTCCACATAATAATATTGTTGTTTACCTTCTTTTGTTTCACTTACATATCGCTCTTTAACTCTCCACTCATGTGTTTATTATTATTGTTATTTTATTTTGTTTTCCACATATATAACTATATCGATTTTGAATTGATACAACAGAGAAAGGATAAACAAACGGGCGAAAAAATCAACAAATAAAAGAATTCCTTCCAATATTTAGTGAATTTGAATTAGTTTTTATCGTTTTAGGTTGTTTTATCTGTGTGATTTTGCTTAAATAATTTAGGGCACAGCTTGTGGTGCATACAATTTTGTTTTTGTTTGTTTTATTGTTTTACATTCATTCACGCAGCCGGCGTTGTTTTTTTGTTTCTTGTTTTTTGTATATATAGTTATTTTTTTTTTTGTAATTTCGCCCCAGCCATAAAATTCGGTTATTCATAGTTATTTATTTATATATTTTATGTGAAAGTGCTCTCTATTGAGGATTGGGATCGGATCAGAGGTGTGGTGATGGTGGTGGCGGCGGCGGCGCAGGCCGTTTCGTTGTTTGTCCTCCAGTCGTTCATGGTCCTTTCAGTCCGTCCCCTCCCCTTCCTTCACCGTCCGTCCCCCCGTGGACCCCCTCGGGCGCCGGTTGTTATTCCTTTAGTTATTATGCTGCCCTGCCTGCCGCTTTACATACATTTGTTATCATATATATATATATATATATACTTGTTTGTAAAATTTTCTGTATATATATAGAATTTGTTTCATTTACTTTATTAAATTTTTTAATTTCTATATATATTTATATATATTTATAAAAAAAATACGCTTCCTGTTGCACTTAACTAAAACGTTGCCTACCGCTCCAGCCAGAGAGTGGCATCTTTGCCTTCCGCGAAAATCTATATCATATTTATCAGTTATCTTTTATCCATTTATCATTTTAATCTGCATCCGTTAGCTTTAACATATATCCGTTTGTTTGTTAATATTTTACACATGTTTTGAATAAGTCTTAGCGTTTTTGTTGTTTACTTTATATATATATATATATATATTTTTATATAATTATTATAGAATTTGTTTTTAGTTTTCATCATTAGGTATTAAAAATATTAAATTTTGTTTTGCGTTTTCACTTGTTGCCGCGTGTTTTTGCGTATCAAAAAAAATAAGTTACAAAAAACGAGACAAAAAAACACGAATTAAACAGTAAAATAGCTAACACTAAACACTGCTCATTTTTTTTAGTTTTTGTTTTTTTTTTAAGACATAATTGTTGTTGTATAAAAAATATGCGTATGCTTGTATATATATCATATATACTATATATACTATATATCCAATTATATATATATATATGCATTGGGTGTACTTTTACATTTATTATTTATATTTATAGTAGTTATTATTATGTTTACTTACAGCTTACCAACTCTCATTATTACATAATCCAATAGCGTTTTGTCTTAAGATCATAAGAAAACTATTTCGGTTGCTCCATAAATTATAAAAAAAATAATAATCATAACGAAGTGGGGGCAAAGGATAATAGTAAAAGTAAATAGTAGTAAATATTAAATAGTAAATGGGTATCCGATACAATTGATTATAAATGATGCTCGGGGGCTTTATGAAATTTACAATTTATACGCTATATATAATATATATTTACTTAATTTTGCTTATGTTTTCCATTTTGTTTTAGTTTCTTTCTTTTTTTCTAAGAACAGCCCAACAGTGTGTTTTTTTATCTTAATTGTTATTTCGCGTCGTGTATTTGTATATATATATATATATATATAAATATTGGGGTGTGTTTATGGTTTCTATATCATCACTACCATTTCCCTTAACTCAAGGAGGAGTCAGGAAGCAGCTAGAGCCGAGCTAGAGCTGGTAGAGTATTTAAGGAGGAAACAAATGAGCAGGGGGACAAGGACAAAGACAAGGACAAGGACAAGGACAAGGACGAGGGCAATTACAAAGACATGGACATAAACATAAACATAATTTTCTACCGATTATAATACTTAGAGCTGGGAAATCATCGAAGTAAATCAATTTATAATCGATTCTTGCTTATTTTTTGCAAGAAAACTTTGATTCTCTTCCAGCTGCTAGGTATTTTTATAAATTGGCTTTCGCTCTTCTTTTCGATTTACATTTATTTATGGTTATAATTATTAATAATATTTGTTTAAGGTGTCTAAATAAAATTGCATTGGAACTAAATGTTGTCAGAAATGTACAATTTTGTTGTGAAACATGATCGATCTCTCACTCTCTCTCTTTATCGCTCTCTAAATCTCTAGCTAAAGTCTTGCTGCTCCCTTCTTATTATCTCTCTTTCTTTATATAATTATCCTTGTCTCTGGTGTTAATTAGTATTTGTTTACATCATTGTTTAGCAGGCTGTGCTAATCGCTTAGGCTTAGAGGCTACAACCTACACAGGCGCTCATCAGCGTTGCTTAGTGTTGCTGCTGTTGCTGCTGCTGTTGCTGCTGCTGCTGTTGCTGCTGCTGCTGTTGCTGCTGCTGCTGTTGCTGCTGCTGCTGTTACTGCTGCTGCTGTTACTGCTGCTGTTGCTGCTGCTGTTACTGCTGCTGTTGCTGCTGCTGTTACTGCTGCTGTTGATAGTGTCAGTAGTAGCCCGGGTTGCCGCCACCTGCACCACTGCTGCCCGCATAATGCTCACTCGCGGCGGCATAGTAGAGGCTCCTCTGTTGCTGCTGCTGCTGCTGCTGGAGGTGATGGTGTTGCTGGGACTGCAGTGGAGGCGGCGGCAACACCGCCGTTTGGTAATGTTGCTGGCGATGCGGCGACTGCTGCTGCTGCTGCTGTTGCTGCTGCTGCTGCTGATGCTGCTGATGCTGCTGCTGCTGTGTTGCTAGGTGCGAATGTGACTGCTGCTGTTGCTGGGAGTGTCGCCGGTAGCCAGGATAACCGTAGCTCGTGCCGGGCGGCGGCGGTGGTGCTGCTGCTGTTGCTACTGATATCGCTGCTGGCCGCAGATGCGACGCCGGCGCCGACGACGACGCCGGCAGTCACAACTAATCCTCGTCGCTCAGTGCCTCGTACTTGGACGACAGCAATGGCTTCGGTTCGCTGGCCGCCGGCGCTGACTGGGCCGCTGCTGCTGCCGCCATAGCAGCGGCTGCCGCCGAACCAATGGGATTGTGGCCGCCGCCTCCACCGCCTCCTCCTCCGCCACCGCCGCCGCCGCCAGATCCCGGACCACCTGGTCCACTGGCACCGCCAGGTCCGCCGCCTCCAACCACCAGCGATACACCACCGCCGCCAACAGAGCCCGCTGCTCCGCCTCCGACTCCTACTCCGCCCAGCTCACTGAGGGCATGCGCCGCCTTGGCCTTGGCACTGAGGTGGCCGGGCGGAGCAACCGAATGGTGGCCACCGCCGGACAGCTGACCACCGGCACCCAGCTGAAGCGATTGGGGCGGCGGCAAACCGCCGGCGGCACTGGGCACGGTCAGGGCGCTGTAGGGGAAGGCATAGGTGCTGGGGGCATAGGACGCCGGCACCGGATGGAAGGGTGAATGGTGACTGTTGGCACCCGAGACGGACACCGAGACGGAGCCGCTGCCGGCCGAACGCCGACCGCTGCCATCCACTACCTCGTACTGGTTGGGCGTCTTCCGTGACACACTAATCTCCGGCGGTGGCTCCTTGCTTCTGTGCTGCAGCTCCAGGGCGGCGGCATGGGCTGCATGCGCCGCATGCGCCACATGGGCTGCATGGAGGGCGGCATGGGAGTGAGCGGCAACCAGATCGGCGGCCACCTCGTCCTCGGAACGCACCTCCACAATGCGGTTCTTCACGTAGCCAATATCGTCGCGCATTACCTCGGCGATGCGATTCTTGACATAGTTATCAATGGTGGTGGCTCCGCCGCCACCGCCGCCGCCGCTGCCGGGTGCTCCGCCTCCGCTGCCGCCACCGGGCGCACCACTGCCTCCACCTCCGGGTGGGCCTCCAGGTGCTCCACGCTGATCCGGCGGCAGTGGCACTCCGACGCGTACCGGTGGCGGTGCCGGCAAAAAGTAGTGACCCGGCTCACCGCCAGCCGCTGCTGCTGCACCCATCACCTGGTGAATCATTAGTTCGTGGGCATATTTCCTGGGACTTACGGGCTGTGGCATGCGTATAATGTTGCGTCCATCCTCGCCGGGTGTATTGGCTCGGCCGCCGCCTCCGCCGCCGCCACTGCCTGGACCACTGGGAGCTCCAGAGCTGCCGCCCTGGCCTCCAGAGCCGGCAATCTGCGGATGATGCTGCTGCTGCTGCTGTTGCTGGACATGATGCTGCTGCTGCTGCTGTTGCGAATGATGCTTGGCCTCCTCCGCCTTCTGCTGGAGACGACGATTCTGCTTCCAGCGATCCGGTGGCAAAATAGGCTGTGGCTCCTGCAGGTAGGTCATGAAGGGCGGCGTGGGACGCAGATGCGGATTCGAGCCGTAATCGTTGGTAATGATCGAGTCGGTGAGCTCACCAAAGGTGATGCTCTTGGTGTGCGTCTGCTGGGGACTGGGCGCGGTGCCCGCCTGTGAGGTGGGCGTCCTTAGCTGGCCGTGCACGGAACGTGACTGCGAGGAGGGTGGCGGTGCCTGATGCTGCTGTGCCGCTGCCTGCTGTTGGGCCACGGCGGCAGCTGCTGCCGAGATTCGCTCCTGATCCAGATCAATGTTGATGACATTCGGTGATCCCGATGAGCTGGGCTTTCCATTGTTCTCCGCCGTTAGCAGGGACACTGCTCCACTTTCGTGCGGCTGGCGGTGATCGCGTAGATACTGCAGCGGATGCATGACATTGGCTGGCGAGGAACGGGTATTACCGCCACCGCCAGACCCGGAGCCAGAGCCTGATCCCGAGCCACGTGGTGGTGGCGGTGGGCCATGACCGAAAGTGGGGCGCGGAAATTCCCGTCCCGTTGCACCGGTGGCATCGTTGGTGCGACTAATCTCGTGCTTAATGATGGCATCGATCAGGCTCTGGGCACTCAGCTGACCGGGGGCATCCTCGGGCGTGGGACCACCATGGGCGGGACGATAGTATCTAAGGGGAGGGAGTGGATAATAATTAATAAAAGGAAAACATATTTATGCAAGGGAAAGAGGGATACTTACGCCTCACGCTCACGGTCTGGTATGGAACGTGGCGGTCCGGTCTCGGGCACTGGTGCTCGTATGTAATGACCCGGGGGTGGTCCTCCACCGGCGCCACCCGATGCTGTTACCACACCGCCACCGGCAGCAAACATACGCTCCATTCGCCGGCTATCCCGTTCACGCTCCTCGGCCACCACACGCCGCTCCCTGTCCTGCTCGCGTCGCTCACGTTCCCGTTCCCGTTCCCGCTCACGCTCCCTTTCTCGCTCTCGCTCCCGTTCCCGCTCCCGTTCGCGTTCCCGCTCCCGTTCACGGTCCCGTTCGCGCTGCAGCATCTCCCGATCGCGTTCGAGGGCATGGTTATGCTGCTGCTGTGCCTGCTGCTGGGCCTGCTGGTGGGCCGCCTGCTGCTGCTGCTGCTGCTGCTGGTGCTGCTGATGCTGATGCTGCTGGTGCTGCTGATGCTGACGCTGCTGATCCCGCTTGGCCTGATCCATGCGCCGCTGCAGATCCACCTGCTGGCGGTACTGCTGGTGCTGGTGCTGCGCCAACTGCTGCTGATGCACAGCTACGGCGGCCATATGCTGGTGATGGATGAGGTCACGATAGCGTAGATCATGATGGGCCACCGGTGGCGGTGGAGCCACGGCCACGGCATGCGGTGGTGGTGGTGGCGGTGCCGAAGCTTGTGATCCAGATACCTGCTGCTGTCCGGGAACGGCACCCGGTGACTTGTCATCCTTTTGCGAGGGCACCGGCAATTGAGGCTGCTGCACAGCCACGTCCACAAATGAGGCCAGGGCATCGTGGCCAGCTAAAAGAAGGGAATAAGAAGGGAAGATGGTTAATATCTGCCAAAACAGTGTGTGTGATTAGTGTGTTTCCTTACCTGGAGCATACTGATACGGCGCCACAATGTGCATCCTGCTGGGCGGTGGAGCTGCCGGCGAAGGCGGCTTCGAGCCGGTATTGTGACGCTGAATCACACCCTGGCGCTGGGGTGGTGGTGTCCTATGGGGACTGGGAGTGCTGTAAATAATAAAAGGAATTAATAACATTCCTGATCCTGCTGCTCCTTCTCCTCCTTCCTTACCTATTTGCATGATCCGCTGGCGAGGCACGACTGGAGTACTCCGGCCTGCCCCTTGGTGGCGGCTCCTTTTCACCACCGCCGTAGACAAAGCCACCGGCACTGCCCACACTGTTCCGTGGCGAGGGTGACTCCTTGTCCGAACCACCGCCGCCGCCACCTCCTCCGCTGGCACTGCTGCCACGTGACATATTCCGCTGCTGCTGCTGCTGTTGCTGTCCCTGCATCTGCTGCGAGGTGATGTAGTCATGCATCACAATCTGCCGCGTGCTCAGCACTGGTGGCTCCACAACGCCGCCAAACGGTGAGCGGGCATAGGGTGAGCCCACGCCCACACCATAGCCCTGCGGTGGCGGTGCCTGCGGCGAGGATTGCTGCGGTGGCGGTGGCAGCTGTTGACCACCAGCTCCGCCGGCTCCTGGCTGCTGGGCGGGACTGTGACGCTGCTGCGAGGATTTGTAGAACTCATAGGCTCGCTTGCTCTCCAAATGATGTGGCGGCAGGTGCAGTGGTGTTCCCTGTGTGATGGAGCCATGCTTGCTGCCACCGCTGCCCGGTGGACCACCTGGCGGACCAGCCTCGGGCGTCGTCTGTCTCACCAGGCCATCGAATTTCGGGCTTAGGAGCGAGGACGATGATGAGGACGAGGAGGCAGCAGCAGCAGCTGCTGCAACCGCTGCGGCGGCATGGACAATGATCTGCTGCTGGGCGCTATTGGCCGGCGTTCCATGGGTAATCGATCCACTCTTGACGAGCAACTGCTGTTGCTGCTGTGCGGCTGCCGCTGCTGCTGCTGCTGCTGCCGCCTGCTGCTGCTGCTGCTGCTGCTGCTGCTGGGACGGCGAGTGGCCATGACCGGGATGTAGATGATGCGCCTGCTGCGGACTCAGCTTGGGCGGTACCTTGGACACACCGGCACTGCCCCTGCCCGAGGGCGGTTGTGCTGGCGGCGGTTGTCCTGGTCGCGGTGGCATCTGTCCCTGGCCGGAGATCGAAATGGGCACGGGCACTGGCACGGGCTGGACATAGAGTGCCCCGCCACCGGGCACACCGACTCCCACACCCGGTGCTCCCTTGAGCACTCCGTGCGGCGGCTGGGCATACAGATACGAACTGGACGCTGTCAACGAGGGCACGGTGACCGTATCGCCACGATACATGGCCGTGGAGCGGACAATGTGCTTCATGGACATGCTAGGCGGCGGTGGTCCATGGTGACGATCTGCCGAGGATGAGGAGCTGCCGCCACTGCCTGCCGATGAGCCAGAGCCGGTGTGCGGTGAGTGGCCATCACGCGGTGGCTTCTTGATGCTCAGGTCCAGGGTTTGGGGCTCTGGTTCCGGCACCGGTTGCTGCATCTGCTGCTGCACCTGGGCATGCACCTGCTGCGGATGCTGGGCGTGCGGCGGATGACCAGGATGTCCTGGATGCTGCTGCTGCTGCTGCTGCTGCGAGGGATGACCGGGATGCTGCGACGGCGGCGGCTGGGGTAAACCACGTGGCGGTGGATGTGCCGTTGGTACATTGTAAATGATCGTCTCCGGTGGCGTGGGCGTTGAATGGCTACTCTTGCCTCCTGCTCCGCCTCCTGGCTGCTTCACCACCGGCGTTATGGTGGCCTTATCCACTGCCGAGGCAGCAGTATGGGCCATGAGACCCGGATGACTGCCCGGTGGCACGCCAACACCCACACCCACACCAACGCCGAAGCCCAGGTGGGGACTGACCACCGACAAGGTGGCCAGGCTATCGCTGGTTCCGTTGTTGCCAGAATTGGATCCAGCTCCCGAGCTGGTCGGCGGCTGAGGCTGTGGTGGTGGCACGGCTGCTGGCCGGGAACCCTGCAGCTTTTGCACAGAGGTGCCATGTGGCACACCCGCGGAGGATTGCTGCGGCGGTGGTGGTGGTGCTCCGCCAGACTGCTGCTGCTGCTGCTTGAGTATGCCAGATGGCGGTGGCTCCTGGCGATATTCCATGACAATGGTCAGCTCCTTGCGATCCAGATTGTTGGACGATTGCTGCGGTGACTGACTTTGACCAGGTGTGGAAGCCTGTCCTTGTCCCTGTCCCTGCTGTCCCTGCTGCTGTCCCTGCTGCTGTCCCTGCTGACCTCCCTTGGGCTGTGGACCCTTGTGCTTCAGCGAACGCTCAATCACCGAAAAGACACAATCCTGGACATTATTGACTGCCTCGCGACGCATGGCAATGGGTCCATTGACCGCCTGCTGCTGCTGCTGCTGCTGACCGGGAGCACCTGGAGCCACACCCATATTGGCCACACCTGGCGGCTGCAGGCCGGCCACATTGTTGTGTCCATGTCCATGACCATGAAAGAGAACCTTGGGACTCTGACGATTGGCCGGCGAGTTCTCATTCTCCTCATCCGCCGTCTCGGTGGCCGATGAGTCGTATTCCTCGCTGGTCTTTTGCTTCTTGGGCGCCTGTCCAGCGGCCGGTGGCAGCAGACGATCGTTGTCGTTGTTATTGCTGCCGCTGGTGGCACCAGAACCCACCGATGCCCCCGCCTTGCCACTCATCCGGGTGGGCGTGATAATCAGCGGTGTGTCTCCACGCTGTGGCACCACCGTTGCGGACGACGTCTTGGGCGGCGGTGGCTGTGGCTGTGACAATTGCTGGGCCGCCGCTGCCTGTTGCTGATGGTGATGTTGCTGATGCTGCTGATGCTGCTGATGTTGCTGCTGCTGCTGATGCTGCTGATGTTGCTGATGTAGCTGCAGGTGCTGCTTGATGGAGGTGAGCGATTTGTGACGCTGCAAATTCTCTGGACTCTCCACGGAGGCAGTGTCAGAGCCACCGGGTTCACGTTCATCGCAGGACGAGGTACTGACATCCGTCTCATCACCGCCACTGCCACTGCCGGCACCGCCGCTGGAGCCATCGGTGAGATTCAGCTGGGGATCCAGCTTGCGGCGAATGCGCATCAGGCAGGCGGAACAGCAGCGGGTGGCGTGCGGCGGTATTTGGAACTCGGCCATGACCGGATCACGCACTTCCGGCGCCAGTTCAAAGAGACGGGAGGGAATGTTCCGCAGTCGCTGGGCCCGATCCTTGGGATTGGGGCACGTGGGCAGCGGACAATTGGGATAACGGCTGCGCACCGATTTGCATTGGCAGCTGTTGCAGACGCGTGCGCCCGCCGGGATCGTTTCATCCGGAATTCCGTACTGCTGGCCACGTCCCTTCTTCAGGGGACGGGTTCGGGGACAGGCCTCCGCCTTGCACACAAAACAGCTGGCCAGGCGATCTGGAAGGAGGAACAGGGGAGAGAGTGCGGTTAGTGGAGGTGCTATAGTTTCTAATTATGTAGAAAATATATTAAGATATTTGTATATATTTCGATATTCAATCCTGCAACGTTCTGGGAGAAAGATTGTCACACGCTTCCTTTAAAAATCTCATAACTTAGCCAAAAACGCATTAATTTCAATTCGGAAAGCGTTCCTATGATAGTTTTTAGCAGGTTTATAAAACTGCATACTCCATTTAAAATGTAAATTTTCGGCCGATTTTTGCAAATTTTCATGATGTAACCCCTTTTCTTTTTTTCGAAAAATGGGAAATTTCTGAAAAACATTTTTTTCGGTCGGATAAAGCTAGAAAAATTCGGCTGTTGATAGTGATCAAGAATATATATAGTTTATAGGGTCATAAATGACTCCTTCACTTAGTTTTAAGCTTCTGATTAAAGGTGCAATACCATTTTTAAATCGATATTACCTATATTTTTATGCCTATTTTTTAAAAAAATCATAGTTTTAAAAATCTCATAACTAAGCCCAAAATGCATTAATTTCAATTCGGAAAGCGTTCCTGTGCTTATTTTTAGCAGGTTTATAAAACTGCATACTTCATTTAAAATGTAAATTTTCGTCCGATTTTTGCAAATTTTCATGATGTAACAACCTTCACCTTCACCTTCTTCACTTAGTTTTAAGCTTCTGACTAAAATTATAATTTTAAAAACTGTTCAAAGTGGGAAAATTGTAAATAACTTATTTTAGTTAAGATAAATTTAGTTAAGAGTTGTAAGCTTTATAATTTTAAGTCTCCACAATAAGTTTAATATTAGGGTCTTCCTCAATTATATTTAGAAATAAGAAACATACACAATATATAATCCCTGTAATTAATCTTAATTCTATCAACGCAATAAATATGCTGATTTTTTGCCACGACTGTAGGCACAAAAGTTATGCAAACACATTAAAAAATGCGATTTAATTAAAGCAACTGGTCAGGCGGGCAGGAAGGAACCAGGGGAAAAAAAGAGGGGAAAGGACGACAAGGATGAGGGTGAGTATGAGGATGAGAGCGCTTTCATTAAGCCACTTAACAAATAATGAGCAGCAGGCAATTGAATATTTTAAAACGCTTTCCCCCCCGCACTTTTCCTTGAAAAAGAGCTTGGGGTTGCAGGATAAAGATGATAACGATTGCTGATGATGGTTGAGAATGGAAAATGGCATAAAAATAGGGTTAACAGCAAAGGAAAGCTAATTTAAAGCAAGTAACTTGTATTAGAAACAATAGGAATGCCACTTTTAATTAATATTATTTTTTGTTTGCTTATGAAACAAAAAAAGCGTGTGTTTATAATCTGAATTAATTCCGTTTCAAGATATTCCCTCAAGATTATTATCCTTGCAGAACCATCCCTGACCAACTGAGGGAAACCACCACCAGAACCATCATCATCACATCGACTTCTCTGTTCACTTCTCTGTTTGTCTTAGTTTTTGTTTTTGCCACTTTAATAATTTTACAATTTTAATGATGTGCAAATAAAAGTGAGCGAGCGGCAGCATTTAACCAAAATCAATGTAATTAAAATGAAAACGGAGACAGGAAATAATGGCTTTCAGGAGGGGGAAAGCTGGAGATTGCCAGTAAAATCAATCAGAGAGTTTTTCACAAAAAATGTCAGGCGGGGAAGTACCAGCTTTTGATACTTTCGCTGACCAAATAAAAGCACTGAGCTTCGTCCTTCCTTCCTTTATATACTCTCGCGAATCTCGACGGAATATGAAAATACATCAAAGTAGCCTCTCGTCTCGCTTTTCCTCCATATTTTCCCCCATCAGTAAAAAATGCTTTTCAGAGCGTTAAAATTTTAATAAGCCACTCATTTTAATTTTGATTGTTAAGCGGAGGGGCGGGGAATGCAACAAGAATAAAAAATAGCAGTTCCCTTTTTTGTTTTGTTTTTTTGCACAAGGCTCAGAGAGCTCAATCAAATTGCAATTATAGATTGCAAATTAAATAAAAATCATGAAAATAAATATTTAATATTAATAACAGTAATAACAACAAGAGGAGTAACCAACCAGCAACCAATAAACCAGTAAAGAGATCAACAAATAGCGGCCAACCGACACAAAAAATGTTGTAAATCAAAATGAAAACGAAATGAGATTGTGTGTCAATGCAATGGACATCAAGATACTGCTTAAATTTATATATTTACAAAATTCAATAATTAATTCATTAGGGTTTAGTAATAATTCGAATGATAAAACGATTATTTAAATATGTAAAAATATATATATGAAATAGAAACAAATCAAAATTCAAATAATATCTGTCATAAAATGAAGGGGAAAATGGTAAATGGTAAATGGTAAATTCCAGGACATGCCCCGGCACATGATATTCCAGAGAGGCAGCACCAAATAAATTAATTAATAAAAGGACCCGGAAAATATGGGCTGAGGTTGCCAGAGGGGAGGAGCAGGAGCAGGAGCAGGAGGAGGAGCAGGAGCAGGAGCAGGAGGAGGAGCACGGACAGGGACAGTCGTCAATCATCTGCGGAATGGGGTCCAGGTCGAGTGCCCGGGCAAAACCTTGTTTTTTATTATTTAATTTTGATTTAAAAATATATATCGTGTAAATATTTTATGCACTCCGGCCGATGGCAGGGCTTAAAACAAAAAAATAAAAACATGTATGAATCACCGCAAAAAGTCAGCAATTTTTATAATGATTTAAAAAATCAACTGGATTCGCAGCGAGATTTTCAAGGAAAACTATTTTAAAATTTTATTTGGAATAGAAAATATTTGACATTAAATGGGAATTAAATTGGCTTGTATTGGAAATCGATTATAACTAAGCTTAAAATATTCACATTTTTTGAATCAATGTTTATTGATATTTTTATGAACATTTTTTTCACATAATGAAAATTTCAAAATCTCATAAATAAGCCAAAAATGCAATAATTTCAATTCGGAAAGCGGTCCTGTGCTAGTTTTTAGCAGGTTAACAAAGCTGCATACTTAATTTAAAATGTGAATTTTTGGTCGATTTTTGCAAATTTTAATGATGTAACCCCTTTACTTTTTTTCGAAAAATGGGAAATTTCTGAAAATATTTTCTTTTTCCCGGATATAGCTAGAAAGATTCGGCTGTTGATGTTGATCAAGAATATATATGATTTATGGGGTCGGAAATGACTCCTTCACATAGTTTCAGGCTTCTGACTAAAATTTTAATACCCGGAAAAGGGTATAAAATTAGCAAATTCTGTAAATAATATTCTATTCGAAATAAAATAAAATTGCCAAACTTTGTGTAGATTATTTTCCAAGTGCTTCCTTCGATTGGATTAAAATCTGTCTTTCTCAAATCAAATTATTCAATTATAATTAAATGAAACCACAAAATGGGAGACATACTGATCAAATGTCAGACACACACAATTGATGTCCCTTCTGTGTTTTCTGTTTTCGTTTCGGGGAAAAACATACACTCACACACACACACTCACACACACACTCACACACACACGCGCACACACACTCACACACACACTCACACACACACTCACACACACACTCGGACATGACAGCTCGACAAAAATGAAGTCAAGTCGTCTGTAATTAATGCATATTAATGGAAATTTGTGTTAATTAAATGTGACCTATAGGATGAATGCTCATTGCTTATTGCTTCCACCGACTCGTTAGAATTTCATAGCATACTTATGCGGGCAAGCGGAGACGAGAAAACCTTCTCCTTCGCTTTAAAGTAATTCAATCAAATAATAATAACAAATAAAACAGAGAAATACAAAAAAAAAACATGAACCAAACTGTGATATGAATTTCCGTTTTTTATTTTATTTCATTTCAGTTTTGCCTGCTTTCTTTTTAATTTTTTTGTGAGCTTTTTTGTTTGCTGACCAGCAACGTTCGTTGTCGTCAGCGGCAGCAGCAGCAGCAGCATCTCTCTTTGCATTTCGATCAATTTTATTAATAATTCAATCAGTCAAAAAATTATTTGAACCGCCCCCAAAGGAAAACAAAAAAGTTTCGATGGCAGCAGAAGGAGAGGCCTCACCGCACCGCACCGCCACAGTAAAAAGGAGGAAGTGGAGGTGAAGGATACGGAGATATTTCAAGGGAAAGCGGCACAAGATGTGCGGCTTGGCTTTTCTTTATGCACAGGCAAAAAAAAAATCAAAACCATAAATATATATTAAAATAAGGACACTACAGGAATCGCCAGGGATTAAAAATCTACTTTCAAAGGGAGTTTAATGGAACAAAGAAATTTATGAGGCAATTATTTGCTGATCTATAAATTCTTAACATCAAAGAAATATATCTATATATAAAGAAAGATTGAGATTGAGAGATCCTCAAGAATTTGGTTTATTATTTAAAAAGAAACCAATCACAGAGTCTTCTAAAATATATATAAAACCTAGATTTTATCTGTGTGCTTTGCTTCGATTCTCACCGATTTTGTGGCTATATATTTTCCACTTTGATTTGTGCAGTTTTGCGACTATTTGGGGACAGAGGAAAGCAGGAGTATAACTTGGAGCAGGAGAAGGCAAAAGGCAGATGAAACGTGGAACATTGCGAGTTATTTGCACAGTAAAAAAAATAGATATATATATATATTATGGGAAGGAAAAGCGAAAGAAAAAGGAGTCGGGGGGGTGGGAAAAAAAAGCAAAAACCAAAAGTAAATCAAAACGACAAACAAAACAAAACGAGACGCAACGCACAGCACAGCCACAGAACCAAGCACCACAACCCCCATCTTGGAGGCAGAGCTCTCAGTCTCCTTTTCCCCTGCTGCTGGGCCAAAATGAAATAATTCCATTAGTACAATTTCTTTTGCAAGTACAAAGAGTAAATATTGAGGCGCGGTCTATGGAGCAAGGGGGGAGAAGGGAGATTTTGCTGCGGCAAATATATATCTATATATATATATATATATATTTATAATATATAT